CTTACCAAATCACTGTCTCACAGGATTGTGCTGTAGATTTCAAAATTACGTCTACATGAATTGTTTACGTATTGTCTATATGATGTTTACATGGACTTTTTTCATATAGATAATGTAAACTTTATAAATTAAATGTAAGCTTTATAAATTAGATATTAGAATGCAAAAAAGAGTAATTATCTTATAAAATTAAAGAAAAATAAAACAGAAATTATATTATATAAAATAGTTAATGTATCTGTATATGTGATTTTAGTATCAATTAAGAAGATATTCATAATGTCAAATATGAATAAAGGAGCTTAGAGAGCCAACGCTTGGCTCTTAGTGCAAAAATCTGTATTAAATTATAATAACATCAATATACAAATGTTTCAGCTTAACATCAAGCCTTTTATAGTGTCAACAAAAATAATAAATTTGAACATAAAAATACGCTGGTCGTTGCAATAAGATCTGATGTTAAAACGATGTAAAATATAAAAATTAGATCTAAACGTAATAGTAGGCTTGTATCAACTTCAAGTAGAAATCGTAGCACAGTTAACGAGAATATAACATATGTCCAAAAGCGAAATACAAAACGGCCGTGATAATAGATGAGAAACAAAAAACATAATGAGAAGTTAAAAATAACTGTTCCATATTGCTGTCCCTCAAACTCAAGAATGGAAGAAGTAAATAGTAAATGTTACGAAATCACTGATTCGAACGTTAATATGCGTTAATGTTCGATCAGTATAACGATTAGAAGAACGATTATAACAACAAGACCAGAGAAGACACGAAAGTGTTCGATTGGTTCCTTGAAGCAAATTATTTTCCATTACAATTGACCTTTAACCTTGAATGACCTTTATAACCATAGGTCATTGTATACGTCTTAAAATGCTCTATTAGAAGGTAAGTAAAAAAACATATCATTCTATTTAAAAAAACGAAGTTAACCTTTGCATTTGCTCTACACCGCTACCTACAAAAAACTATTGACATCAGATTATGTCCCCCTTGAAACCAAGATAGATCTGATGCATTTTTTGTATTTGCCAAAAGCAGGCGAATTATTCAGGTGACCTGGTTTTAGATGCCTCACCCTGTATAACATTAAAGAATGTTAGTAAAAATAAACTTTTTTGTGCGAGTTTTAAAAGAATTACGGTTCTTCTTTATCTGCATTTGCTTGCGGATTTGTCAAGAAAAGGCTGCGCATCAAAAGTTCAATGATCTTTCGACGCATAATTTTTTTCCCACGCATACAATGCAAACAATATTCTTCGCATTGCTCTTCGCAGTTTCATTCACTCGCCGGCACGCGTACTTATTATGAGTCACAGTATTTTGTATGGTTAACGAATACGTGACAGAAATTGGCTATTATATAAAGGAAGATTCTCGCCCTTCTTCTTTTGCGCGTGCATGCATTGAGCACGCTGTACGACAGGATGCCACGTAGAATATTATAGCGACATTAGCATCACCCTTGTTGCGTCTCTTTCTTCTCTTTGAGTCAATTGCTGGTGACCCAGTTTGGCAGCGTCATCCTTTCACCAGTTTCAGACGGAGAAATATTTCGATTTACCTACATTTCTCTCCTATGTTTGAGTAGATATCGCGAAATGCATACATTCCGAATATGGAAATTAACTTCGATAACTTCTTCAGTTTATCATAAATGTTGATAAATTTTCTCTTTATCAAAAGAGCCCGTAAGCAACATTTCTTTCGAAAAATATGAAGAAAATGCACATTTGAGGAATAATATGTTCAAATACAATTTAGGAGTTTAAAGCTTGTTGCAATTTGGAGGCGAGTAAGGATATTGGGCAATATGTATTTTCCGCGCACGTTGCAAGAATTTGCCCAATCATACGGCTTTCTAATACAATATTAGCGTGAAAGATAAGTTACCGAGCGGCAATTTTTGTACGATTCGCGCGTGATCGTAGCACCTATCTTTGCGCAATGCTACTTAATAACAAAATTATCTAGCCAACAAAAATCTTATATCTCTTGGAAAGATATTATCTTATTGTTGTAATTAAAAAAAGATGCTAATTAACGTGGCAAAAGTAAAGAATAGAATAGATAAATATTCTTATTGATGCACTTTTAGTAACATAATCAATGGAAAAGAAATGGTAGATTACAAAATTGATCTGTAATGAAAAAAGAGAGATAACGCAATTGGTGAATTATCAGATTTTGCCGCGTTCAATTTCAATAATACGAAGACGCAACTTAGAAAACGTTTCGCGAAATAAAACTTTATAGCATGTACACAGATTTGCCGTTATCGAGTGCAACGTAATCACAGGTCACGCACCGAAGCGGAGTTTCTCCGCCGAGGATACTCTTCGTTTTAGACGCGCTTTCTTGCACCATCTGTACATACAATGCAACAAGTAAATATCTAAGCTGTGGAGGTAGAAAAAGATGAAAGTATATAGTGTATGTAAGTAAAAGGAACCCAACGCCTGACCCTTAGCGAGATACGGGGCGGGAAACGGGCGGCCTAATCTATCCTGTAAGTCCTGGCGGAGTGTTCGTACCGTAGTATCTTCATGATCCAACACTTCCACAGTGCGCTCGGAAATTCGGGCGCACTAGAGTTAGTAGGCGCACTGCAGTTGCGCAGTCAACAGTCAACATTTGTCGATCACCTAGTGCAGGTTGCGAGGACGAAGAGTATCTCCATGTTCCGCGTTCTCGATACGTGCGCTACTTCCTGCATAGACTCTGAACTGTGATACAATTGATTTTAACATTCGATTGCGAAGCATTGCCAATTGCTGAAGGCCTGAAGGTCGGGAATCTGAACGTTTCATCGAACAAAAAAGGTAACAATTACAAAATAAAGAATTTATGAGCAATTCAATAGATGATTATTAGCATTGTCGATCCATTTTTCAAATACTTTTTCATAAAAATATATGCTAGTAATTATGAAAGTCGACTATGTGTAAATAAAAAATCTTGGCCTTACTTTATATGTATTACATCGATCTACATTATAACATAATGTGAAGAGATTCTTGAAAAATGGTTGAAAATTGAATTACTTAATGGCATTGGTAATTGTATCAGAATTCAATTCATGTTTATTTTGGTAGTAGTCTAAATCATTTGATCTCTAGTAAATTTTTGTTTCGTGAAAAAGAAAATACTTATTCTTTCATTATGTCATCAGATAGCAGTTGAAGTAAATAAATTTTATATAATAATATAAAATGATTCTACAAATATTTTAAAGAGAGCTCGTGAGACTTCAAAAATTGGAAGTCTATTATTGAAGAAGAAAGAGAAAATTAAAATATTGATAAAAATTAATTAAACATAATTATAATCATAAAATGTAAATGGATATGTTTGTTTTTAGCCTGTTTTTAAATAAAATTCAATATTTTATTGTTTTAAATCATTTTTAAAGTTTATCATTAATTTTGAAAATGATCTATATTTGTGATCTATATCATTATCAAAGAAACATTTTCTTACAAGTTAGTCGCAAAATTTTACGATCAAGGGAAAAATTTATATTATAAGAATAAATGTTTTAGAAAATATTTTGTTACGTAACAAAAAATATTTGTTAATACATACAAATGCAAAAGTCAAAATATTTCAAGACAAAAAATATATGACTTGTAAATAGTCTATTTTCATAATCAGCACAGAAAAGATAAATCGCTTGATTGAATCAGATCGTAGAGGGTTGTCATGCTAATAGATAATCAAAATAAACTTAAAATATATGAATAAAATGTAAGAAAATAACAGAACAAATCGAAATTTAAAGTGAAACATTTTTACCGTTAATAACAGGTAGTTAAGAAATTTATATTTTTGCCTTATTTATAGTTACTCCGACTTCGTGCACTCAGGCACGGTTATAGAAGAAAAATGGATCAATACCTGAAAATATCATTATGTTACATACCACGCCTGAGCGCGCAAATTCAGAACAAATTGATTGATTAACTTTAAATGCTTCTCTTTTAAAAACTATTGTAGCTTCAACATTTTGGCATTAGGCTTTTCATCTCAAAATGATGTCAGGAATGTGCTATTACTGTGTGGTGCGGTTAGTACGTGCGGTTAGTTAGTTAGTTAGTGGGACACTCTGTATATTTCAAAGAAATGAGATTATCGTCGACTAAACAATTTTGTTAGGTTGATGTTGTGTGAAAATACGTGTTCAAAGTGTAAATAATAATAAATGACAGATAATTGCTAGTTAATGCTACACTATTATTGTTATTGTTTTTATACACGGAAAGAATACTTTTGTTGAAAGATTTAAAAATTGTGCCAGATACAGATCTAAAAATAAATTTTGTTGGATAATCAAAATTTATCAATAGAGCAGTTGATCTTTTTCATATCGCAACAAAAAGTTTTGATATTCCATCAATTAAGATCGAGTGCTCTATTGATCAATTTTGAATGTCCAATAAAATTTATTTGCAGATCTGTATCTGGCACAATTTTTAGATCTTTTAGCAAAAGTGTTATTTCTGTGTATACATCGAGTTTTTATAGTCATTTATGTTTATAGCCGAGCAAATGCATTAAATGTATTGATGATACATTCTGTCGTCTAAAAAAAAAAGGACTCATGCGTATGTATGAAACACAGTAGATATATCATATATATGTGATTTTAATCGATTTATGAGATATGAATTTAGTGTTGCTCTCACAAATCACCAGAGATTCGGATGAAAGGTACGACTTTCCATTTTGCTTATAATAGTTGCCTTTCACCGATCAGTAGTCTATATGATTTTACATTTGATATATATACAGGGTGTCCATAAAGTCTATCCCCACCCCTTATATTTCGGAAACAGTTCAAAATTATTAAAACCTTTTAATTGAAAGTTACAGTACTGCCAGATTTTTTTCTATGGGGCTATTTCAAGTCGGTAGTGTACAAAACTGTTCCTAATAGCATCGAAGATCTTAAGGCGAGAATTACGACAGCTTATAAGGACATATCCAGGAAAACATTTCAGAACGTAAGACAAGAATTTTATAATCGATTATTTTACTGTCAAGAAGTGAACGGTACTCATTTTGAACAGCTGTAAATCCAGTATCTATTGAAGATAAAAGCAAAATCTTCTTAAAATCTCTTAAAAAATAAATGTAAAATAAAGTTGTCTCTCCGATCCTAGTAGAGTTCGCCTCTAAGTTAAAAAACTCAAAAGAAAAAACAAACAAAAAAAAGACAAAAATTATAATCTTCATAATGTAACTTTCAAGGCTTAAATTTAACAATTTTTTGGGTCTCTTTTTCGACCTGATTAAAAAACACCAAGATTAAATCTAAATTTTTTTATGGAAAAAACTTAAAAAGATGAACATTTTCATACCTTGAACGTCTTTTTAGGATTTTTTAAATGGGAGTAACAGTTTTTTAAAAATTGACCTTTTTCAAACTTTGACCCTAAATAATTCCCAAACGAGTCAACGTATCGACCTCCGATTTGCGCCAAAAAAATTCTTTTTTTATGCCCTTTCAAATGATATACTACAATATCGAGTTCCATTTAAAATTTTTGAATTGAGGTCTCTCTGGGCCACCCTCTTGGTTCATACCCAACTCCCTTAAAAGAATAGCTCCTCGAAATGATCGAACACGTATTTGACGGTTTTTCATAATTTTGAACCGTTTCCGAAATATAGAGATGGAGACAGACTTTATGGACACCCTGTATAGCGCTGTGATGGATTTCGAATAAGAAATAGACGAATAAGAAATGTTATATAAATCGGAAAGTTAAAATGCAAAAATATTTAAGCAAAAGAAAATTTGTATTTTTCAGATAATATTTGTGTGCGAGGCATCTATAAAAAATTAATCTTGAAAAAAATTTAGTGTTTTTAGTAAAATTGTATTGTTGGGGCTTTTATTTATAGCAAATATTTTGTTTTATATTATAAAAGATTGAGCAAATATTTTGTTTTATATTGTAAAAAATTTAGTTGTTTTTCCTAAAATAATATTTACATTTTGCTGTCTTGACCAAATATTTGTTGACAACAAAGTTTAAGATAACTTGAAATAGTTTGATTATTATTTCAATTTAATATTTTTGTCACCATAACAAAAATTTGGTTTCTTCAACTAAATATTTTTCCTAGTGTAGATAGATACAATTCAGTTGTTTATTTTTAAGGCAGAGTTTATGTTAATGTATGTTTTTTTAATAATAAACCACCCACCATCAAGTAAGTTGATTTGTGATACATCTAGTAATGCGATATTTCTTACGAGGCTCCACGGCTTCCGAGTCACATTAGCGAGAACCGTTTACATGTGCTGCGCAAAACATTCTTTTTAATTAAATTTTTCAAATCCGTAGAAATAATAATACCGTGGAAGCAATAATAAAGATAAAAGTAAAAATAAAATAGAAATCTACAAGCATGTAGAATATTTTGATATTATCAAAAAAGATAATTACTGTTATTTAGACTAAATAATTCTCCAAAGAAAATCTTAAAAACAAAATTTTCCAACTTTAAACACTCGATATAAGCTGATTTAGCATATAAATAAACAAGAAATACATGAACTATGGATTTTTAATGAATTAACTAACTAAACAACTAACTAAACAAATCATGTTTATATTAGTTTAAATATTTTGATATTTAAATTACATTTAATTTAAAATTATATTTAAAATACATTTAATTTCTGAAAAATAGGAGTATGTCGCTTTAAGAGATCTATGTCAGTTTCAGCGCCTTTTCTTTGTACGTGACACGACGTGATTTCGTTCCATTAATAATTATGAGTCGGTGTCACATAACCATATTTTTGCTTGGTTTTTGATATATAATTATTTGATGTTTATTAAATTTCTGTTTTATTACGTATATTTATCATGATGTTTACATATTTCTTTATATCAATATATTTTTCATAATTTTGTATACTATATTTTCCATTATATTAAACATATACTATGTTTTATATACTATGTTTTAGCCAGTCCAAGAAGACATTTCGTTTTATTCGCATCAAGTCATTGCAGTGTCTCGCAAGTTTTTCATTTGTCTAAATCTAATTGTAAGATTTCTCGTAATATCCTAAAAAACAAATCCTAACAAACAAAAACGACGACTGACAAAAGTTTTTGTGCAAAATGTATGATCGTGAAAGTACGAATAATAAACAAATATTATTTGCAATATTGTAAAATTAAAATGCAAATAACGTGAGATGCAGAAATATATTAATCATAGGAAACGAATATTAAACTTTTTATAATTTGCAATATCTAGCAGAATTGGAACAGAAAATAAGTTTGAACATTATATTGTATGAAAAGGTGTATAGGACTTTCTTATTTTAATGTCGCCTCTTATATTGCAACTAATAATTATATTTAATTTTATATTATTTAATAATGTTATTTTGAAAAATTATTTTATTTTTATTATTAAATAAAAATAATTAAAAATAATTAATGATAATTTTCTCAATGACATTTAGATCGCAAAATGAATCTGAAAAAAAGCGGGCACGTGATCTACGATTTATTGCTGTTCATTGGCATGAGCATAGTTTATTTCACCGAGGCCATAGTGTTAACATTAATTCCTCGTCGATATCGAGCCAAATCAATCCAGAATGAAATTGCTCTCGTCACAGGTGGTGCGAGCGGAATTGGCAAATTAATCACGATCAAACTTGCCAAACTAGGTGCACATGTAGTCGTTTGGGATATTGATAAAAATGGTAAGAGATTACATTTTTTGAATAAATAATTATTTTAAAAATTATAGATGTATCAGGCTCTGGTGATTGTTAAAATCAATAATATTCGAAAGGAGCGTAAAGAGCCAACAGCCGGTTATTCGTGCGAAGGTTATCGTATATTAGTTTTAACCATTATTACATTTACATTAAAACAGACGTTTCAGCCTGTCATCAGGCCTTCCTCAGTATTATTATACAAATACAAATACAAATAAAACGCAACGCATTAATTAAATAAACAATATAAGAAGCAAAAAAAATTTTTTTAACAATCCATAGTTAACCGAAGAGTAGTTCAAAATCTAACCACGTTAGAATTGTAGTAAAACACATGTAGAAAATGAGCTCATCTACCCAGAAAGAACGAGATAGAAGAGAAATCTTAGATATTATATGATGGTTGAGATCTTAATATCTAATTATTTTAATTGAAAAAACTCATGTTGTCATTACCTTAAACTTAATTTGAAAAAAAAAAAAGAAAAATGAAGATTATGTGCTTTCTATGCGAAGAATAAACAATAACTACAGTGTTGAGTTTCAAATAATGTGAAATACACCCAGTCAGCAAAGTCTGTTCGAACAGATATTGCCAAACGTCTGCTACAAATTTTTGTCAGCAGAAAGACTGCAGATTGTATACAAAACCTGTTACATCAAATGATGATAGCAGAATGTCAGCAGAAATGTTACAAAACCTGCTGACATAATTTGACAGCAGATTGGCGGCAGAAACCGAGCAGGACCTGCGCAACGCAGTTTGATATCAGATTGACGGCAGAAATCGAGCAGGATCTGTATAATGCAGTTTGATGTCAGATTGGCGGCAGAAATCGAGCAAAATCTGCGCAGTGTAATTTGATGTTTGCCACTATGCGGCGTATTTCTTCATATACATATAAACTCGTACTCAAAATTCATCTACAGTGCATATAAAGTGTGGCCAGTGGCTTAATGAAACTTATCAGTTTAATACAATAATCTGATACAATCCCCATAAGAGATTCAGAATATTAAACTGATTTTTGAAATTGAAAATGCGCTGCGAGTTAACCCGATATTGCAGTGATTTCGAGATTTTGCCTAATAAATTTATTAAAACATAAGTATTTTTTTTGTCCGAATAAAGCAAATATATATTATATACTTTGTATACCTCATTTACTACTTTTAATAAACAAAACGAGAAATGTAAAATTGTAATAAAGCATTTAAATGCCGTTATTCCATTTAAATTGTGACGGCAGGTTCTGTTCGATTTTTGCCGACAATCTGACACCAAATTACACTGCGCAGATCCTACTCGTTTTCTGCCGCCAATCTGCTGTCATCCTATGTCGACAGATTCTGCCGACAGAACACGATGCGGACACAGATGGCACCGTATTTGCTGCCAAATTCTAAGCGAATCTGCTCGCAAACTGCCAGCAGGCTGCTAACATTTTGTTGACTGGGCATGTTTTGTAATGCTGCTTATTTTTTCTGATTATTGTTTAGCTTACGTGATCGTTTTCTCAATCGTATTTCTTATGTGTACAAGTTTTATAATTCTTCTGCGTACCTTGCACAAATGCGTGAACATGTAGGCAATATGTATATTTTAACATCTAATAATTGCACTTCAGATTTATTGCTTCATAAATTTTAATACATGCAAACGTACATTCTTGTGTAAATGAAACACTGCAGGTCTTGTGGAAATCGCGGAAGAAATAAGGGAAGCCGGTGGAAAATGTTACACGTATTGTTGCGACATCACTGACAAAGAGGAAGTGTATCGCACCGCAAAAGCGGTACAAATCGAAGTCGGAAATGTAAGTGAAAAGTCTAATAAGCTTACAAATTTCATATTGCAAACTATTTCCGATAACAAATCATGGTGAAGCTGTAATTCTATGTATACTCTATGACACGGAGAACAATGTAATTTCTCCATTTTTGAACAATTCTAAACCTATGATAAGTGGAAAATAAATACCACATTGATTCTCAATTGACCAATAAAAAGGATCTCAAATTTCAATTGTCAATGATCAATATGCGGACGTCTCGTGCAGAAATTAATTTCTCAAATATACAAAGTGTTTCAGACCTATCGTAACACTCGTTAATGGCAGATTTCATAGATTATTTGATTACAAAAATCTTAATACCAAATTGTCGAGATTGTAACTAACAGCCCAGATAGGAAAATGTATGCATTTTGAGATCATATTGTACTCATATATTTCACAAACATGAGGACAAGAATAGACACAGATGCGGGCTCATATGCTGCTCAGAACGCAGACATGTCATGATATCCATAAAATTGCACAAAAGAATGACATATTAGTACATGCATGAGGTTCAAGCTAATATTGCATTTTGTATGTCATATGTAGTTCAGAACATGACGACAATGTATGTTCACATTTATTGTGATTTATGAGTTCATTTTACGATTATGTTTTTTTGATATTTAGGTTAGATTAGGTTAGGTTAGGTTATAATAAAATTAGATGTTTTCTTTTCGTTATTGAATATTAAATATATTCTATTTATTTTAATTGTACACTCAATATAAGCGCATTAGAGCGACATAAACACGTTTATGAAACAGAAATATTTATAAAACTGTCGAGTCCCACTCACTGCCGAGGACACATGTCACACTTTTAATTTCTGTTTACACAATTTTGATGGGCCATTCAAGATGGTCCATGGCTTCACACATATATAATAAGACTAACTACAAAAAATGTACGAACCGTAGTATCAGAGGATGCGTTTCTTAAATCATAACCACGTTCGGAGAGCGTTTGTATATTAATTGTTTTTATCAATGCTTCTCTTTTTATGTACTAAATTATTTTTGTTGTCTATTTTACACTGAAGATGGCTACATTCCTTGGCCGAAACGTATGTAACAATTTTTAATAAAATAAACTTTTGAGCAACTCGATCCGGCTCCTGCTCTATTAGCTTGATGTCAACACGATCATTATTTTAATAAGGAAGAGCAATATCCTAATATTATTTGTATTTTTATATTATTAATTATTATTAATATATATTAATCATTGAAAATTTTGTAATATTTATTAAAATATTATTTCATATTTAAAAATGTAAACACATAAAACACATTTTATCATGCAAAATGGGTCACGGAGATCATGCGCTTGAATTCTATAATAATGACGAAAATATTGAATGTACAAAATTTATAACACATAATAATTAATTATTGCAATCAGTTTGTGATTATCATGAGTTGACAATTTAACATCAATATGTGAGCTCACATTTTTCCTCATGTGCACATTAACTTATGCTCATGATATGTATCATCATAATATGATTACAAGATATACATAATTTTGCGATAAATATCTGAAGATCATGACGTGATGA